AGCAGGAAGAATCAAAATGGGTGGACCATGCATTTGTTACTGTTGTCAGCCCTCTGTGTGCATGTATGCACACACACACACACACACACACACACACACACACACACACACACGCACGCACACACACACCCCAGATAATTGTGGTTCAGAAATGATTTTTAGAGCTGGATGCAGCTTCGCATACCTGTAATCCCAACATTTGGGAAGTTGAGGCAGAAAGATCACGAGTTCAAGGCCAGCCTGACTGCCACAACTCCCCCCAAACCAAAATAATTTAGAAATACAAGGATAAAATGTTGCAGATTCACCAAATGCATGGACACAGAGAACTAATTTTCTTGCCATTGCTCTCTGTGGTGGTGTGAATGAGAATGTGCCCTATAGGCTCAGAGGTTTGGATGCTTGACCTCTGCTTGGTGGAACTGTTTGGGTATGTTTAGGAGGTGTGGCCTTGCTGAAGGAGCCATGCTGCTGAGGGTAGGACTTCTTTGATGTTTCAAAGTCATGTGCTTTCCTCAGTTCACTCTCTCTCTTTCATGCTTGCTGTTCTAGATGTGAGCCCTCAGCTTTTGCTTCAGTTGACATGCCTGCTGCTTGCTGCCATGATAGATTCTAATCCTTCTGGAACTAGAAGTCCAAATAAACTCTTTTCTTCTATAAATTGCCTTGGTCATGGTGTTTTATCACAGCAATGGAAAGTAAACTAATAAGCTCTCTGAAAGATGTAAAATAACAACTTTTTATATTTATATATTATTAAATAGGTTTGCTTATAAATATAATATGTATTTATATTATATGTCGCTATTAAATAATGATTATTAATTATTATAATTAAATACCGATGCTAGGTATTAATATTATTTTTATATTAATATTATGCATTTATCTGTTATGCTGATTATTTATAAATGATTGTTTATTTTATGTATAAATGTTTATTAAATATTTATAAATATTAAACATATATTTGTATATCACTTACTTTTAATATATATAATAGCTGATCTAGAAATTATTTAAAATAGGATATGTGATATAAGAGACTTGAGTCTCCATGAATTTTGGAATCCTTGAACCAAAACACCAGATACTGTGGGATGAATGTATTTCTAAATCTATCAAGGGAGATCAAGGTGGGAACCTTTCCACTTTGAGCTAGTGGTAAAATATCTGGAAACACATGCCCTAGTCTGGTTATTGCATTTTGAAATACATTATTAAACCCACATGATGAAATGCAGGATATTGTGTGGTTAGAAATAATACCAAGGTAAAATAATTGAAGGCTCTTGTTGACCATTACTAGCAATTATTTAATTACATAATTAATATAAGAATTATTGATGTTAATGACTTAATAATTGATGGTACTGGTATTACCAATGATAAAGAGCTACTTTTTTCTGTTGTCTATGAGCCAGACACAGATTAGATGTGCATGTACATGCCCATGCACACCAAGTGTGTGTGTGTGCACACGCGTGCAGTACAGGCACATGTATATATGCAGGTACCCATATATGTGCAAAAGCATGTGTATAAGCCAGAGAACAATCTCTGATGTCATTCCGCAGGAGCTATCCAATAGGTTTTTTTTTGAGATAGTTTACCTCATTGTCCTGAAACTCTTCAATTCAGCTTGTCTGGTTTGTCTGCAAGTCTTAGAGAGCCCCAGTGTCCACCTCTCCAAAAACGAGATTAACAGCATGAACCACTGCGCTGGACTCAGGTCTTCATGGTTATATGGCAAGGATTTTACCAAATGAGCTATGGCTCAGCCTGTGAACCTTTTACGTTCATGATCCTTAGTGGAAATAGTCACAAATACCATCTCAGTCAGAAGGAACTCCTAACTGCTCACAAATACTACTAACAGGAACTGGCTAAATGTTACCCCTACTTGATCCGTCACTACCCCAGGAGGTTACAAACTGGCAGTCTGCGGGCCACATGTAGGCCATAGATGTGTTTTCATTTGCCCTGAACGCTGTTTAATTTTTAAACCTTTGTTGCCAATTACAAAGAAATCGTGAGATTTCTGTTAAGAAGTCCTGGTTCCCAGCTTCTAATGGAAGCATGAAGCCTGGGCCTCTTCACCCTGGCGTTCCATCCTTCTCCTGTCCCTCACAGCCTGCCTTCTTTCTTTGAAGTACCTGAAACTCAGTCTGTGATGAATGCAAAAGTCACCACCCCACCCCCAAATGACAGAGGAAAGGTCTCTCATGTAACTAGCTCTTCTCTCTGCCACCTTCCTCTGGCTTTTGCCGCTCTCCCCTGCCTGAGTGATTCTCTCAGCCTAGAGCATACCTCAGATTCCCCGCAGGGCTTCCTGGACTCACAGCATCAAACGCTGCTACAAGACTTCCTGATTCGGGCTGTCTAGGATTGGGTCCTAGCCATTTAATATGAGCATGGTTCAGATGGATGCTTCTGCTACTGGCCCAGGGACCACCATTTGAAAGTCACTGCTCTGCAACCCAAACACGAGCTCCTAATGTCCAGTGGGTTCGGTGCTAATGAACCTGGGCAGAATAAGGAAAGGCGAGGTTCACATTTTGAGGCCTTACAAGTAGTCTTGCAAAAACTAAGTGGAGGGGGCATTGGTGAGACGACTTGGGGGGGGGAGGTTAAATGCTTGCCATGCAAGCATAATGGCTAGAAGAGCTTGGATCTCCTGAATCCATACAAATGCTGTGTGTGTGTGTGTGTGTGTGTGTGTGTGTGTGTGTGTGTCACAGTCCACTTGTAATTCCAGATCTTAAGAAACTGAGACAGGACCCTCCTATCAACCTGGCTAGCCAAGCCAGTTCTATCAGTGATCTGGGTTTATGTGGGAGACCCTGTCACGGTGAAGAAGGTGGAAAGCAATCAAGGAAGAGTCCAGTAGCCAGCTTCAGGCCTCCTCATGCACATGCATACCTCCTGGACACAAATATGCTCATATACTTACACACACACACACACACACACACACACACACACACACACACGTCATTGCCTTACCTCCAAAACTCCAGTTTCCTGAACAAAGAGTTTGTCCACCCCTTCCAAATCACCTTTTGATTTATTCCCAATGGGCTCAGTAAAGGCAGCTGTACTGCCAAGGACATGTGGCCCCATCTCCACCCCAGGACTGAGCACAGACGCTACCTTTAAGGAACAGTACTACTAAGTTGCCTCCCAAAGATCTTAAACCCAAGACATTAACTACTCTGTGGCATCGCTTCCCACCATAATCAATTCTCTTTGAGAACCTGTCGTGTACTGGGCTCATCCCAAGTGCCTGAGTGTATCACAACGATCCTCCATGCAGAAACCATTATCTCGCTACACTACAGAGGATGACAAATAATAGGTCAGAGAGCACTTGACGAGTTTTACCGTCTCTAAAACAGTCAGGAGACAGCGGCTACTCACTGTTGGTCGGATGCTGTTAAGCGTGCCATGCTCTGGCCTGTGTTATTGTCTAAGATAAATGACACGACACCCGTAAACAACGTCATATGGGTGTGCTTTCAGGAGGGGCTTGGTCAGGATGTCAGGACTCCAAATATAAGCTCACAAGTCTCCAGAGGGTTTAGAGTGGGTGGGTCTCTGCTGGACATTTTGGGAAGACTGGTCAAGTATTAATCTAGAATATTCAACAATGGAGAAAAGTCCCAGTCTGGAACTGATTGCTTCCATTGGGGCTGGCTTCTCAGCACTCAGATGCATTCAGCAAGAGGCTCAGCAGGGGGGCTGCCAGGCTGTAGCTCTAGGCATCCAGAACAAAGAGACAGGGCACTTTTATAGGCTCTTGGGAGAGCCACCTGGGAGAGTTTCTTGTCCCTTTTTCCCTAGACTTTCTAGAAAGCTTCCAGTGGAGTCAGACTGTCCAGGATATGGTTCTCCCTTCGTCCTATCCTACAGCAGTAGGGTGACTGTGGTCAGAGCATTTAACCTCTGGGAGTCTCTACTTTCTTCTCCCACCTCCAAGAACAATAGCCAGCCTTCTAGGCTGTTGTGAGGGTTTAATTAGATGCTGTATGTAAAGTGCTTAACACTAGCACATAATAAATGCTCAAGAAATTAACAATTATCACATCGAAATAACTATCATTATCACCTTCCTCACCTGAAAACTGAGACCCCCTACAACTTCAGGTGCCAATGACAATGTTTATGTTCACTTTTCAGCCTCCTTCAGGAGTTTCACAACATTGTAATAAAGTCTCCAGGTCTGCACTGTACTTAACATTAACAAAGAAATACCCACCCCATAGAATCACAGTTCTGATCCACACAGGAGCGAATGCTCACCCTCCCACTCCAGAAGCTGGCAAGAACCCTACCAGGTCTTTGAGGTGGCAAATTTCTCCCATGGATTATAGGAGAATGGGAAGTGTTTATTCTGTATGAAAGCCTATTTACATCCAGCCTCCAGGAAGGTTGTGGGTCAGGAGTCTCAACCTTTGCTTCCTGTTCCTTCACCTGGGGAAAGGGCTGGCAGGTGAACCGCTCTCAGTTACCGAATCAGAGGTAGTACTGTATGTTTCCGAATTCAATTGAAATACCATTGAGATAAACAACATGACCTTTTCAATGTCAGTCTGAAGAGAAAATGACACAGTTGAACTGAGGAAGGAAGGAGGGCAAAATTAGATTCTTCATCACAATTCTAGAATACGTCTGGACTCTGCTCACCCAAGAACCATCCCCCACAAAGGTGTCAGCTCAAACAGTTGCAGTAATTGAATCAGAGCAGCAGCAACAACAACAACAACAAAACCCTCCATATCAATTGCCTTCCCCATTATTTACAGAGGCCTGGCTTTGCAATAGAAATCTCCATGTTGGTATCCAGTGACTTGGAGCAAATGGGGAGGGAGGCACCCACAGACATATTCAAGTGGATGTGTTGATGTGCACACCCCAGAAAGCATTCAAGGCACACACCCACAAAAGAAAGAACATCTTGTATCTGAAGACCAGCCAGCCAAAGAGGGGAGTTTACTTACAGCTTTTGGTTTATATGGTGGCTGAATCTCCTTGCGTTCGAGTTTCTCCCAGTCAATATACCGGAAAAATGCATGTTCTTTAATGTCTCGTTCCCCTTCAGGTCCACAACCCAGACGCTTGCCTGGGTGTTTGGTCATTAGCTAAAAGAGGGGAAAAGAAAAGAAAAACATTGAACTGATTGCAGGCCAGGAAGTGAGAGCCGTGAGAAACAGTTATTCCAATGATGGAGGAGAGGAGCCCAGTGCACCGGTCTTACTGTTGGAGGGTTCATCCCAGTGACAGTTTCTTAGCCAGGTCTCTGTGGGAGAGAAGCCTAAAACGATGCCCATCCCAGAGCAAAATCCCACAGGGCTAAATCAAATCAAAGCTCCAGTGTGGCCTTGAACTTCACATTAAAAATGTCACAAGCTCCGTTTGGGCTCAAGAATGAGTCTTGTGTGTTACTGATGCACCCAAGGAGGACAGTTGCTATATCTTCAAAACCCCTTGCCCTCCTGTCGTGAGGAACACTGACATTTGACCAACTGGAAGGATGCATTCATTCAGAGGCTGTTTGCATTTCTCAGCAAAGCACTTGTAAAACGGGGAAAAAAAGAAACAACAAACAAAAGAAAAATATTAGTCAAATGGACCCAAGTTTCAAGTAATTACTTTCAGAATGCTCATTAAATAGTCAAAACCTAGCCTAGCTCATTTTCCCCGTATCACACATCACCCTCCGCTGAGGTTTCTTCGGTGTTCTGTTTAAATTACTTAATTATCAAAACTCCCCATCTTCACGTCTGCCAGCCAGTACTAAATAACAAGATGAATAGATGTGGAGATGAAGCCAGCCAGGCTTCCTGTTAGAAATGAACCTGAAGCCACACGCGAGGGTCTCTGATCTCAAGATGCAGGCAAGCGAGCAGATGAGAGAAAAATGGAGGAGGTAGTGATTCCAAAAGAGAAGGGAAATGACTCGGAGAGGACGCAGAAACAACGGAAAGGAGTGAGCTGCAAAGCCGAGCTGACACCAAGCACCCCAGGTTTGCCCACGACTGGATGACTGTGACTAAAGAGGGAGCCCAGTAATTCATTCTGAACTGCTGCACATTCGACTTGACTCCTGCCTGCGAGATGCCCTACAGCCACAGGCACACACTGTCCGTGTATGCTTTATCTCCCAAGGAGCCAAACTACCTCAAACTCAGTGTTCCCAGATCCTTTCCCCACTTGAAATGACAAGGCAACTGTCATTTGAGACATTTTGAGAACTCAAACAACAATAAGGACTTACAGAGTGACAGGTGGGATCTGGTCCCACTTCGGTCCCCTCCAAAATTTCGTTGTTTTTTGTTTGTTTGTTTGTTTTGTGTTTTTTTGTTGTTTGTTTTTTTGTTTTTCCCAAGACAGGGTTTATCTGTGCTGCTTTGGAGCCTGTTCTGGAGCTAGCTCTTGTAGACCAGGCTGGCCTCGGTCTCACAGAGCTCCATCTGCCTCTGCCTCCCGAGTGCTGAGATTAAAGGCATGCACCACCTCGGCCCAGACAAAATTTGGGTTTTTAAGAGAAATGGGAGCCAGGCATGATGCTGTAGGCTTGTGATCCCAGCACTTCATAGCTGAGGCAGGAGGATTGCAGGAGCCCAAGGTCAGCTTGAACTTCATAAGGAAATCCTGCACCAAAGTGGCAGATGAGAGAGAGAGAGGGAGAGAGAGGGAGGGAGGGAGAGAGAGAGAGAGAGAGAGAGAGAGAGAGAGAGAGAGAGAGAGAGAGAGAGAGAGACTGGGGACAAATGGCTAACTGTGATGCCTCTAGCATACCACCAAAGCACACGCTGGCCTCCAGGCTTACTCAGTACCCATGGCTCTTCTCACCTGCCCCCCATCCTAAATTTCTCCAGCTTATCTTTTGCCCCCCTCTCTCTTGCCCTCCTCTCTCAGTCACCTTTGTCTGTACTTTGTTCTCTTCCTCTTTCACCCGCCCCACTCTCTCTCCTTTCATGGCTTGGTTTAGTCGGCTGGTCATGCTCAGTGTACTCTTTTCTCTCCCTGCTCTGGACTCTTCCAAATGTCCCTAACTGGGCTCTCTCGTGTCTACATTAAAAACCTTCTCCTCAATCACATCTTGGAGTGGTCATGTTCTCACTTTATACACTCTGCATGTGGTTTTCCCAGAGGTATTTGTGGTCTGGCTTGGTCAGGAAAAGTCGATGGAGGGCAAGCAAATTAAGTCAAGCCTTGGCATTTACGTTGGGTTTGGATGGATAGAAAGAAAGTCTAGGACAGTGCTTTTCAACCTTTTTAATACTGTGACCCCTTAATACAGCTCCTCATGTTGTGGATATCCACAACCATAAAATTACTTTCATTGCTACTTCGTAACTGTAATTTTGCTACTGTGATGAATTATAATACAAATATCTGTGTTTTCCAATGATCTTAGGTGACCCCAAGGGGTTGTGATTCACAGGTTGAGAACCACTGGTCTAGACAGTCTCAGCCCCGGTAACAACAACACCAACACCAATAATGTTTCTGTGGACTGAGCACAGTATGTGTCTGTGCTAAATGTAGCCTAGCCATGATCTATAACTCTTGAATCCTAAAGAAACACTCTGAGGCTTCAGCAACTATTTTCCCTGTTTTCTCGATAAGGAAACTGGTCCAGAGAAGTAAAACCATCCACCTAACATCACACAGGCAAGGAGACGAGCTAGGTGAGTGTGTGGATGTGTGTATACATTTGTGTGTGAGTGCATGTACATCCAGAGCCCAGAGATCTGTCTCTCATGTCTTCCTCAGTCAACTCTCCATCTTGTTTGCCTGGAACTCCCCCAGTTTAGCTAAGCTGGCTAGTCAGTGAGCTCCAGGAACCCTCTGGTCTCTACCTACCCATCATTGAGATGCTGGATGTGTGCCACCATACCTGGCTTTTTTATGTGCGCTCTGAGGATTGAACCCTGGCCTTCATGCATGGCAAGTACTTTACCCACGGAGCCTCCTCCCCAGCCCCAGGGTCGGGTTTTGAATAGCTCAGCTCTCTCAGCCCACTGTAACTCAGTCTCTGTTTATTTTTACTTCAATTTGCCAGCCTAGGCTTCTGTCCGCGTTCAGCATACTGGCCATGGAAATCCAAGCAAACCTTTTCTGCTTTCATGCTGGAAAATAGGGTTTTTTTTTTAAAAATAAGCTAGACATATACAAGAAGATGGTATATGTGGGAAAGATGTCTGTTTTCAGATCCCCTTGTAGGCAGGGAGACAACATGCAAAGAAGCGCCACTGTAGGCACACAGAGCGGGAGGAGGCTCTGCCTGGCTCCCACACTCCACTCTGGAGCCTGAAGCCATGTAGACAGCTGGATGTAATCACCGTTCCCATCCCGGCTCACCTCCCAGACTCCTCTCCTGGGGCCCTCTGCTCTGGGGGAAGCATTTGGCTCTTGGTTTAAGCATCACCCCTACTTCGAAGGAGTAGCAGCCTCGAGGAGAGAGCCCACACCGCACTCAGCCCACTGACCGTAGAGCACTACCCCCAACACTGACAGCAAAGAGAGTCACTCCAGCTCATCATGAAGGTTATGGACCCTGGATTGATAGGAAACCGCTCCACCAGGCAAAGTGCTAATTGGAGCTGAAGCTGAAGGCAGCTGACCTGGAAAACTTTCTCTCCTCCATGACCCACTTAGAACCCCCCAGCTGTCCAGGCAGGGATGGACTTAGGAAGTGGAAGCCCCCTGAGCGTGCATTGGACACCTACTACACACTAGCCATGCAACAAGAGTCCTCTTCCATGGCCTTGCTCAATGGTCTGGGAAATGGCTCATTGAGTACTTTTATTCTGTTTTTAGAACTGAAGAAGAAGAAGTCTAAAGATTCAAGGGAATTGCTCAAAACCACACACCTAAGAAATGATAGGATGCGGATTTACGGGGGCCCTTTGATCTCCTAAATCCTTCATTTTTCAAATTCCCCTGTTGCAGGGGGACACAAGCTCAAATGCCAAGAGGAGCCTGGCATCAGACAGAGTAGTGACAGCATTTGTCATATTGGAGATGGCCTGAGGGTTCTGGAGCAGAATCCAGGCGCTGGTCTAAGTGATTTATAGGCATTAACTGGTTTAATCATCAAAGGACCCTATGTGCAGTGCTGTTATTGGCCTCAATCCATAAATCAGGTCAAATAGCTCCCCCACGATCATAGTGGCTCATATCTTTGGACTTGAGTTTGAACCCAGATGAAATCTGGCTGTTAGGTTTTTGTTTGTTTGTTTTTACAAACTGGAGAAGGCACATCCCATCTAGAGGGGACTGTGATTTCCAATCTTACGAACAGATGCTTTGTAGGAATGACAGGCCAACGTGGCAGCTGAAAAGCTAAGGGTTTTAGGGAACATCTAGACTTTCAGATGTTGGGAATCATTAAACAAAGTCTTCGTGATTGACTTTCACCCACTTCCCTCCTGACAGAATGTCTCCAGAAGCCCCATTGGCCCCTGTCTGCAGCCTGTCTTATTGTTGGGCTTTGTCAATGCTCCGGATAAACCTTTGAATATCTTCTGCACTCCTGGTTTTCCTTCTCTCCCTGCCTCACACCCTCCAAGGGAAAAAAAATCTGGAACCAATTTAACTTGAGACTGAGGCTAATTCACACGTGGCTTCCCGGGAGATGTCTACATCCTCACTCATACGGCACAAACACCACGCTCAGGTGACTGGCCAGGTGGGAGTTCAGGTTGTGTTACAAGGTAGTTTCAAGCTGTGAGGTTGACCAAGCTCATGTCACCGGGGCCAAGACTCAGGCCGAGCTGCCTGATTGCTGCTCATTTCCTTAGCCAAAGTCACCATAGACAGCTTCTGACCAGGGTCAAGAAGACTCGGGCTGGGTAGGGCAGGGGGAATATGCAATATTTCAGAGAGCTATGCCTACGGCCCTAGCATGTGTGGACACACAAGGGGAGCCCGGCACTCATGCATGGCCAGAGTCTAACCTTTAGACCTCACCTTCATTGTTGGCTGATGGGAAAGACTTTGTAAATTTTCAGTCCTTACACACAATTCCCTCTGTCTCAGAGTGCAGCTTTCACACTACGGTCATGGTTGAGAGAGTGCATCCTTTGGACAACGTGCTTAAAGGCAGTACGTTCTGAGCCACATTGTGGGGCAGGGGTGTGGGGTGTGGGTGGAGTTTCAGAACACTAGCACGCAGACTCAGTCTCTGGGATGGGATAGTCTGAAAGGTACAGGTTAGAGCCAACACATGATGTAGCACAAACAGTCTTTACCCGTAAACTCCTGTCTGACTTTCTTCACAGGTACCATTTCCACCAATCGCAGGCGTGTAACTGTCTGTGCCCTTTCAACTGTGTGTATATGTGTACATAAGTGTTTGCACACCTGTGCACTACAAGATGCGGGCAGCTTTGGGAACAGTACATTTAAATCATCTTATCCAGGCAATCACTTAAAATCAGCACTGCCTGGAATTTTCTTACAACAAAAGCCATAGAATTTTAATATTAACTGGACATACAAACACAGTAGAGCAGGTAAGTGGACCACACTACGCCTTTGCCATGGTTCCAGTTCTTGGGCAGAGTCTCTGTGTCTCCCATCTCCTTCATTCCGTAAGTATATCCTTGTGTAAGGCTTGGGACTGCTGCCCAGCCAAAAGCAAGCCTCTAGAACATAGTTGCTTTTACAGACCTTGGCTCAAATGAGAAGGAAGCTCTCTTATTTGGGAGAGGACAGCTTCATAGCTGGGCTCTGGTGTTGGCAGCAGAGCAACAGACGTTAAGCCTCTGTCGCCTACTAGTTGGGGCGCAGCCTGCACCCCTTGCATGGTAGTCCCGGCCTTGAGTGCCAAGCAACTTACCCCTTTGCAGATGGCCACAGCTTCCTTGGACATGGACTTGGGATATGCCACGTTGTGCTCCATGATGGACTGGAAGAGTTCATCCTCGTCCTCCCCTTCAAAAGGCGCCTGTAGAGCAGAGGGCAGGGTGGGAGAGCAACCCTTGCCTGGCCCTCCTCCCAGCTCTCTCTGACCACCAGGGCTTCCTTCCTACTCTCATCTCAAGGTGAGACACGCCAGGGCTTTCATGAGAGAAAAGATGATCAACAAACTTAAATAACCCCAAGGCCAGGAAAGTCAGAGGTGCTGAGATGTATGAGCTATGACCGAGCAGTCACTTTCTTCAGAGACCGTGTGGCTGGAAGTGGAGGACGATTTTCTTACAGATCACTTAAAATTCAATTACCTGGCCAGCCAGCATTTCATAGAGCAGCACTCCAAATGCCCACCAGTCCACAGACTTTCCATAGGGCTGATAAGCGATGATCTGGAAAAGAGAAGGCACCCTATCAGAGCGGCAGGCAGCCCTATGGCTGGAGACTGAATCCACAAAGGAACAGTGGACTAGCAATGGGGCGGAGAGTCTCAGGTATGGTCCTGACCTTCTGTGCAAGGTGACCGTGGCTGACACAGTCCCAGATTTGAGCAGGGTCTCACAGAGTGAACTGAGAGGACAGGGTGTACCCAAGCTGTTTCCTCACATTGGATGCTTGGGGAACGAAGGGCACACATCGCGAAGGCCCCTGCAGCTGGGCAAACATCTGTGTGTGCCACCTTGCCTTTTTAAGCACCGGGGGTGGTGTGATGTTTTGAATTTCTGTGTATGACATTTTACCGAGGAGCAGCTATTTTTGTTTCTCACTATAGAGTAAAAACATCTACACAATAATGTTGATATACTTAACGCTACTGAACCACATACTTAAAGATGGTTAAGATGGTAAATTTTACAATATGTGGGATTTTTGTTTTTCATCTGTTTGACTTATTTAATTTTTTTTTTTTTTTGAAGCTGGGGATTCAACTCAGGGCCTCATGAATCCTGGGTGGCTTACGCTGACCCACACTCACAACTCCGTATGTTTCTTTTGAACCACGATTAAAAATATAACAGTTTTAAAATGTAAGCGTATTTGTGATTCTTTTGCATCTGGTTTTATTCAGAAAGTAGAGATATGGTAAAAAAAAAGTATTTGTAAGAAACTATCCATAATTCTTTGTCAAGAGAAAAATCATGACAAACAAGGTCTGTCCCCTGCTAGATGGGGTGTTTGTTATTGACTGTATGTTAAATGGGATATGTATCCATGACTACATAGTAAAAGGGGTGTGTATCTATATCTGTACATTAAACAGGGTGTGTCTTCTCATTAAGCACAGGCACTTCAGAGGTGGACACTGTTAGGATTCAGGCATTACACTGGCCCCTGTCACCTGGCAGGATGAACCCAGACAGTACCCTGGCCAGCCCAGGGTCCCATGGCTGCTGCATTACTACCTTGTCTGTACACAGGTGCAAAGGTCCCTTTAAGAGAGAAACTCCGCCCATCCCATCTCTCTCTTCCCACTGCTCTTCTGAAGAGGCAGGCTGGTCCTTGCCTCTTCTTCCTCTTCCTCTCTGTGTTTCTCTTTCTCTCTTCCCTCCCCCACTCCCTTTATCTCAATAAGACTCCCACATAAGCCCTGTCTGCATGGTGTAGTTGTCTCCCGCCCTCTGTGAGGACTCTGGCTCTCACCGGCCAAGGTCTCTCCTGTGCTGTTTTAGAACAGACACTCCATGGAGTGTGCTGTTCACCCTGCATCTCCCTCTGATTTGTCTGTTGGCACACTGGTCACTTTTTAAGATTTTATCTTTACTTTGAATTATGAGTGAATGTATCTATGTATGAGCACATGCATATGAGTGCGCTGGCCCCGGAGGCTCGCTCAATTCCCTTGGACCTCAAGCTATAGGAGTCATGAGCCACCTCATAAGGGTACTGAGAACCAAATTCAGGACCTCTGGGAAAGCAGTGGGCATGCCTAGTCACTGAGTCATATCGCCAGTCCCCACCGTTGGGTTTTATCTCTGCAATGGATCCCACTGAATGTATATACCCACAAAAATCTGTCTTAAATTCCCAATTGTCCAATTGCTTCCATAAATTAAATAATCAAATGGCACCTATGGCTGCCAGGCTTTGATAGCTGTGTGACTACCATTCAGCGTGTAGAGTGGAGAAGCAGCTGTGTCAAAGGCAAGGACGACACAGCACAGGCTGAGGGCTGAGCTTTGTGGGCCAGAGGGTCTAACGGATCCTATAGCTACCTGCCAGTATGGCCTGAAGGAAAGGTACTTAACTTCTACAGACCAGATACACTATGCATGCACTGGGGTGGTTGCAATGAATGAGATCCTGAACACCTCTTATTATCTCATCCTTCAGGTTGCCTTTCGTTTGAAAGCTCTGTAATTCAGTTGTTGCTTGTTTTACTTAATAAAGGCATTGGAGCAAATGTGGTTATAAAGACAACGTCTGCTTCTTGAAGCCTGCCTCCCACCCTGGCTTCTGCCTCCAAGTCAGAAACCCACAGATGATGGTCAAGGATAAAGACTTCTATCAGCTAAGAGTTCCAGGGCTCTGCAGGACAACATGGCTATGGCAGTTAATAACAATGAGTTTCCCTCTGGAAAATTACGGTGACTGCCAGGGGCTGGAGCACACACCTGCAATCCTAGCACTTGAGATACGAAGACAGCAAGATCGCCATGAGTTCAAAGCCAGCCTGGGCCACACAGCAAAACTGTGCTTGAAAAAGAAATCACTGAGAGCCAGTGAGATGTCTTAGTGGGTAAAGCGCTGCTCTATGAGCCTGGTGACCCGAATGCAATCCCAGAAGCAGGGGATCCAGCTCCAAAGAATTGTCCCCTGGCCTCCACAGGTGTGTGTGTGTGTGTGCGTATGTGTGTGTGTGTGTGTGTGTGTGTGTGTGTGTTGTGGCCTATGCATGCCCACATACATAAACAATAGTAATATTTTTTAACTGTTGAGTGTAGATTTTAAGCAAAAAGTTTAAGTACGTGAGTTTATACATATGCAAATGAGCTCGACTCAGCCCTTCCACATATACAAAACATGTTGTACACTATAGCTATGCATATTTTTTATTGGGAATTTAAAATAGACGAATAGTGAGACAAAAGAAGAAGTAAATAAGAAATGTGCTCTGAACAGAAGTGACAGCAAGGCACAGCCTCTGTGAGAAGCTTCTCGGTGACCGTGTTTTCACACCTTTAAGGTCCTTGGTGTTTTATTTGCTCCTCCTGACAGCCCAAGAAGTTAATCCTTTCACCAAGGAAAATAGAGCTGGGAAAGTGAGAGATGCTGCCAGAGGTGCTGTGGCTAGTCCAAAACAAAACCTGACCAAGGTCAGAGTCCCCTGACAGTGAGCTGGAGGAAGAGGCGGTCAGCAACTGCGCAGCTCAGGGTGTGGTGTCCTCAGCAGCCCCGTAACCAGCCGGGACTGGCCGGAGACCGTGACTGGACAGGGATTTCTGATTCAAAGGGTAAAAGGTGACATTTGGGCCTCCTAAAGATTTGAAAGCTCCCCCATGACTCTAAGTATAGCGCGAGTTGGGAACTAGGACGCGCTGAAGGAAGGAGACACCCAGGGACTATGCCAGAGTAGGTCAGCTACTACGAAGAATTAGTCAAATGGTAACCAGCCTGAGTGTGCCACACAGGGATACACAAAGACACATACCTCGCGTGCGGCGCGCATCAACGACACACAGACTGGAGCATCCTTACCCTCGGCAGCATTTGAAATCCATGTGTCATCTCCCAGGCAGATTTCCTCCGCCTCTACATGAGCACCCGTGTACTCGCAGGGAACACACAGCAGCACTCTGGGTGCTACCGCCACTGTCTATGAACAGGGCTGTCATATCTGTTATTCCTTGTTTGCGTGTTTTGTTTTATTCTTAATCTTTCATTTGTGGAACGGTTTTGCTAGGTAGTTCAAGTTCCTCCTGTCTCAGCCTCCTGCGTGCTTAGAGGGCAGGTGGGTACAACCATGCCTAGCTTGATTTTATTTTATTTTGTTCCTTTACCAATAGGTCTTGAAAACATGTCATTTTTTAAAATTTACATTTAACTTTCTCTCTTGGATTGGTGAAGAGTGATATTTTCTAGGACGTGTAAACCACAGTCTCCCTGCTCTCATCCTCTTGAGGGACATTGTTTCAGGTGAGTTCGCACAGACATGCTTTGATCTTTCCAAGGTGATACGTGACCTCCTGACCCAAATGTGGTGTGTGTTGGTAAATCGTTCCTTTATTGACAGTCATAAATATTGAGGTTCTCTCTTATTTTTCATTATTAAGAAATAATGCTGGGATGAAGGAAGAACTTTGGAGGCATGCCCCTTCTCTGTGTGTCTGTGTGCATTTATCTCTGTGTGTAACCTATGTTTCTAGAAAGGAACTGCTTGAACACAGAACATGTAGATTTTCAACGTTATGTCTCGTTCTTTAGCCCAATAGGGAACCTTCGAGACAATTCTTGTCTATCAAGTGACTGACAGCTAACAATGAGAAGAACAATCCTAGGATGTCCCTCTCTCCAAGACTCTGCGACATGGACTCATCAATTACTACGCCACGTCGTGTTGGGAAAACCTAGTGGTTGATCGCTTCCTGCGAGTGGGAGGGGACTAGTTAGATAAGACGTCACCCTTTCACCTTTATCTTCATCCCGGGAAGACAAATCTGTGGTCTCCTAGAGTGCATCCACAACACAATGTAGCACAGCTGCGTCATGTCAGCCCCAGAGGCTCTGCTCCCTTTCTGTCTCTCGCTCTCAACAAACACTCCAATGTCATAATCAGGAGGCATCATATGGCCGCCAGCCATCGCTGCCTGGTGATGGATGTGTTTTTACTGATGTGTGTTGGATCGTTCTTTGGAGCTGTATTTAAAAATTCTCTTAAGTCCTGACACATTGGGAGCCTGAGCTGCTGATGATCTGCAAGTGAGAACTCCAAGAAATGACTTAGAGAGCAGGAGCCGAGCGAGTCTAAGGTACCCGGGTACCACCCTCAACCCTTCTGAGGCCTCTCACAGCCGGCCATCTGGGAGCAGGAGGGACACCACTGCCAGGTGGATGAGCACGCTCACCTCTGGGGCGATGTAGTCCGGGGTGCCGCAGAAAGTCTTGGTGGTCACCCCATCCCAGATGTTCTCCTTACACATGCCAAAGTCCGCGATCTTGATGTGCCCCTCAGAATCCAGCATCACGTTGTCAAGTTTTAGGTCACTGTGGCGGATATAAGGGTTTGGGAACTTAGTCACATGTTGCTTATTTTAAGTCAACCGACGGTTCTTCAATATGAATACATCGCGCGTCTGTGCTGGGAGCTTCTAGGACACCCATGTAAAATGAAACAGGCTTGTTCCTTGGGCTGCTTACAGTCTGGCAGTGGGAGTATAACAAAGGGGCCACCAGACCTCTGTGTTTTCTCTCTCTCCAGAGTGAGCTGGGCCAAGTGTATCACTAAGACACAATGCAAAGTATCTCAGGGAAGAGAGAAGCCCTTAGATGAGCAAAGAACACAGAACAACCAGCTGACTCCAGAATCCAAGAGTAGCCCACGAGTTACGCTTTACACCTCAGACATCTTCTGTTCTATAAGATCTATTTTTCATGAAAATAGTATTTTTTAAATGTCTCTGAAGATCATGGAGTTCAAAAAAACATAGACTCAGAGAATTGCTTTAGCTCCGAGTATTCCTGGCTCTTCTAGGATAAAGGTCAGTACTCAGGAGCTCCAGCTGCCCCTTCAATCAATAGGTATCTGTTGCATGTCTACCATGGGTCAGGCACTATTCCTGGGTCTCAATGCATTAATTACGAATGCAAAAAAAAAATAAGCTTATTTCTCTTATTCCAATTAAACCCCAGTGTTGAGCCAAGTAACTAATGTCTCACTCTGGATTCTGATTGGCAAGATGGTGGAAAGGAAGACGACAAAGAGATAATGACAGTGGGAAGGGAGGTTGCTGTCAGACAGGCTTCTTAGATAGCGAAATCGGGGCTCTAATCTAAGGAGTGTGTGTGCTGAGCTCACCCCTATATTGCCATCTGTGTGAATGAGGATGGTCTCGTGCTCTGGGAAATCCCTGCCTGTCTTCAGCCTGTAAGACTGCGTCCACATCCCGTGGGCTTATCTATCATACTTGCTTCTTCCTAAATATCTACTCCAGTGTCAACGTGTTGTGCACCAGTGTGTAGGGATGCTTGATGGGGCAGACTGTTCTGGTCCTGATAGAAGACAAGGAAGACCAGTTCTTCAGGAGGTTTGGAACCTACTTCCTAACTCAGAGCTCTCCCTCTCGGAGAATCTTGATCAGGCTCTGAATGCCCATGGCACGTTCAACTCTTTCTTTCCTGATCCTCAAGTCATGCAATGGGGTTGATGATGCACTTGACTTCTGGCCCCAAGAGTGATCTGATGTGACTGTAGTTGTCTATGGAAATAGCTGCTCACAGCGATTGGTTCAACAACAGTCACGTGAGCCATTGGAGAACCATCAAAGTCTTGACACCATCCTCGTTACCCTGAGTAAAGAGGTAAGCTCCTTTACTCTGGGATGGCGCAGGTGCTAAAATATAATTTTAGAAGTCCCAGAGTCCTCTGATGAAGAACAGAAAGCTAATAAAGATAAATCAGAGCCTATAAGGGCACATGCTTTCAGGTGTGTCCACAGACTTCTCCATGGCAGCCAATAAATCCCTTGGCTAAGTTAAGTGAGTCTGAAATTGAGTTGATGTAGTCCCTTCAGCGGAATAGATACCTTACCAACATATCCTGACACCTCCTATCTGTCTGTGAAGTCTCTTCACCCCAGAGGAGATTGCACCCATCGCAGACAGCAACCTTCCCTCCCAAGGACCTTTGGCATCACCCACAGGACCGATCTTAGACAGTTTTCATACCTGTCTTCAAGGCATTGTCTCTGAATGCCGGGCTAGAAACCACAAGTGCTGCACTATGTAACAATGAAACACACCAGATGCAAGTGTGCGTTCACTACACATGACACTTCTTAGCTTGACCGGATGCTCAGATACAGGCAGCTGGGGCAATTATCCTGCTCTAGGTGAGGGCTACCACAACCAGCGTTTGTCTGTAGGTGGTGGGGATCTGAACCCAGGTCTTCTTGCCTGCGCTTTGTCCACTGAGCTATCCCCTCAGCTGAATTACTTTGGTTGTAGTTTTCCCCTGTATCCAATTCTTAGTCTGGAGGGCTGGAACGTTTATCTTGAAGAACTCCATTAACGAAAATCAGCACCGACCTCAGAGTTGGTGATCAATAAACCAGACACTAAGCCTGACAAAAAGGATCTTTTAGCCTCCGCTGACCCCCGTCCGTGTGTAGCAGGCTCCCCGGAAAAGGAAAATTGAAAAATTTGTCATCTTCTTTCCTTAAGAACTGCACTACCCAGGACGAGTGCGGTCAGGGATTTCTAAATCATGCATGCTCTACTTAGGCAGCATAGCCCTAACTACACTCTAAATATCCACCCTTATGCCCACAGGTAAGTGTAGTCCTCACCCTGCATCAAGAAAACTTCTTTTTGCAACAGATGGAAACAATTACAGAAAAGCATACTCAATAAAAAGACAAAGTTGTGGGGCCCAATCTCAATGGCTACCTCTACAGTATAACTCCCACACCCAAGGCTCAAAAGAGGGGGTGGAAAGACTCTATGAGCCAGAGGGTCAGGGAGTTTGCTGGAAGATTGTGTCTCCTAGTAACATCAGAAGCTACACCCATAAAGTCTCACCCATATGACTTGCCCAAATGTGAGCTGACAAGGACAACAACAGACATGCCAGTATGGATGGGAGAAAGACCATACACAAAGAATCACAGGCAGCGAAGGAACACTTAGCGTGGGAGAAATAATCTTCTCCAAGGAAGAGCACACCAATTGGTTGGTTATCCAGCTCCAAATGATCACTCTGAAAACATGCATACAAGTCACAGTCTACAGACTGAGCAGGTTATACTAATGTGTTTGGAAATATATGTGTGTGCACAAACATATGTGCAGCAATTAATGAAAAAAGAGACCATGAATTTGAAAGAGAGAGAGGAGAGGTATATGGGATTGTGTGGAGGAAAGAAAGGGAAGGGAGAAACCATGCAAGACCCATGCTATCAAGTAGAGATCTAAATGAAAAAGGAAGAGATTTGTAACACTTGAAAATATTTTTTCACTGTAGAGGAAGTTTACATGAAATCATAGAATTATACATATTTTGTCATGCATTTTTTTTACAACTTTACAATTTTCATTTGATTATTAATGTCTAGAGCTCTTTCAATTGAGTTTCTTAATAGTGAGCAAGAGAAAACAACTTTAATGAGTTTTTAATATGGAAGGGAATCTAGAGAAAGGTATCGAGGAGTTGACAGAATCTCTGAGGAGGATGGAGAACACAGCAGGGAGGCTTCACAAGGCAGAACCATGCCTGGTCAAAATGCAGAGTGGGCACGGCGAAGCTACACTGACATTACCACTAAATACAGACATTGCTTCCTGTTCCATGAGGTCCTGAAGCTGCACTCTACAAGTTACTGCCCACATCTGCTTCTCCTCTTGCCGCTGGAAGCCAGCTGCAGCTGGTGACTGTGGCCATTCTCAGCTATGGTTTTCCTTGGTCACCAGTTTTCTTGACCTACAGTATTGGGTGACTACAACTGAATGTCTAAGCCTGAGCCAGGGGCTTGACCCTGCTCATGGAAGTTATGTATGCATGCATGCGATCATTTCATATCTCTTTATTTTGAATATAATATCTCACTATGTAGCTCAGGTTAGCTTCGGACTCATCATCCTCCTGCTTCGTGTTCCCATGTTCTAGGGTTATAGGTATGTAGAGCTACAGTTGGGTTTCTAGTCTTCACAGTGAGAAATGGACTTTGTAAAAAAAAAAAATCCACCACATTAACAAAAGAGAATGAAAAGGGGAATCTATTGATAGAAAAGAGAGATGAGAGATAGATAGATAGGTAGATAGATAGATAGATAGATAGATAGATAGA